TATTTATTTATTTATTTATTTATTTATTTATTTATTTATTTATTTATTTATTTATTTATTTATTTATTTATTTATTTATTTATTTATTTATTTATTTATTTATTTATTTATTTATTTATTTATTTATTTATTTATTTATTTATTTATTTATTTATTTATTTATTTATTTATTTATTTATTTATTTATTTATTTATTTATTTATTTATTTATTTATTTATTTATTTATTTATTTATTTATTTATTTATTTATTTATTTATTTATTTATTTATTTATTTATTTATTTATTTATTTATTTATTTATTTATTTATTTATTTATTTATTTATTTATTTATTTATTTATTTATTTATTTATTTATTTATTTATTTATTTATTTATTTATTTATTTATTTATTTATTTATTTATTTATTTATTTATTTATTTATTTATTTATTTATTTATTTATTTATTTATTTATTTATTTATTTATTTATTTATTTATTTATTTATTTATTTATTTATTTATTTATTTATTTATTTATTTATTTATTTATTTATTTATTTATTTATTTATTTATTTATTTATTTATTTATTTATTTATTTATTTATTTATTTATTTATTTATTTATTTATTTATTTATTTATTTATTTATTTATTTATTTATTTATTTATCTGTTACACCACCCAACAGTAATCACCATTTACTGGGTGGGAAAGACAAGAAAACATTAAAATATAAATACAAATACAAAATTGTTAAAAAGCTATACAATACAATGTAAACATCCAGAAAAAAAACTGACCGAACACAGGATAAAAAGAAATGGTTGTCTACATTGCATTACATGCTGTACATCATTTTTTTTTACATTTACAAAGAAAAAACATTTTTAATCATATGTTTTTTACATGCAAAAATGTCCAAGCTGTCTTGAATTTCATGATATTTCTGAATAGATCGGTACATTGGAGATGAGTTTAAAACATTAGTTCTAGAAGCAGGCATGTAGAAACTCAAGTAAACTCTTAATCCAGCACGGGGGATTTTTAGATTGACGTAATTTAACAAATCAATACTGTCGACTGAGCCATTTAAAAGATTATAAAGTAGGAGTACCTGTTGGAAATTTCTGCGTATCACGAGCTCTGAAAGATTGAATCTAGATATTAGTAAAGCGTGGGGATATCCCCTTGCAGAGTATATACCATCTAAAACATAGGAAGCCGATTTCATGAATTTTCTTTGAACTTTTTCGAGTAAATCAGTATAAATGTTATGCACGGGATTCCAAACAACAGAACAGTATTCAAGTTTTGACCGTACAAAGCTAATATATAAAGTTTTTAAGGTGACTATGTCTCGGAATTCTTTACAGCTTCGAATAACAAACCCTAAGCTCTTGTTAGCAGCAGATAACATCGTTTCAATGTGTTTAACGAAAGACAGTTCAGGATCAAAATAAACTCCGAGATCTCTTATACATTCGGGTCGATTTAGAACAATGTTCTGTAGTTTGTAATCAAAAATTATAGGTGTTACTTTTTTAGTAAACGACATTACGGAACATTTCTCAGGATTTAGAGGGAGTGAATTATCGAGACACCACTTCGCAATGTCGGACAAACACTTTTGAAGTCGCAAGCAATGGTTAACAGAATTGATTTCAAGCAATAATTTTAGGTCGTCGGCATACATTAAAACTTTAATATGCTCGATATTAGCGACTATATCATTTATAAAAATTATAAATAAAAGAGGACCTAAAATTGATCCCTGTGGAACTCCTGATGTTTGTTCGAAATTTTTTGACCTATAACCATGACATTGAACATATTGATGCCTACCCAACAAATACGAACCAATCAATTGAATGATTTGATCGCATAAACCAATGGAACTTAACTTGTGGAGCAAGATGGAATGATCAATTTTGTCGAAGGCCTTGGAGAAATCTGTGTATATTACATCAACTTGACTTCTTCTATCCAAGGCTTCCGAAATGAATTGCGTCGAACATACAAGGTTTGTAACTGTAGATCTATTTTTCATGAATCCATGTTGATCACAAGATATAAGACGGGAAACATGATTGGAAATACGATCGTGAGTAATTATTTCGAATACTTTAGCAAAATTGCAAAGAATGCTTATGGGCCGATAATTACAAACATTATTTTTGCTACCTTTTTTATGTACCGGAGTAATTCTGGAAATTTTCCAGGCAGTAGGAAAAATACATGTTTTCAAAATTAAATCAAAAATATGTTTCAACGGAGTGGCCAAAATTAGTGCACAGTCTCTGACAAGAAACGAAGGAATAAGGTCAGTACCCATTGACATATTGGGCTTAAGCTTTTTTAGGGCTTTAATAACTTCATCTTGAGATACAGAATTAAAGTGAAGCAGAGGTAAACTAATGGTAGATTCGTGGATGAAGTGATTTATTTGAGTTGGCTTGGAGAAATTGCTTGAAAAGTGATCTGCAAAAGCTTAAACAATTGCCTGTGGATCTTCTATACAGTCATTATTATATTCAACAGTAGTGGGTATGGAATAGGAAGAATTTTTAGAATTTATGAATGACCAAAATTGTTTTGGATCATTTTTAATATTATTTTCAATTGACCTTAAATATGAGGAGTGAGCTATAGAAATGTCTAGTTTAATTTGGTCTCGAAGGTTCTTAAATTTAGTAAATGCATCTATGGAATAAGCGGATTTGTAGGTTTTTCGGGCTTTTTCTTTTTCACGGATCATGTGTATTATACGACCATTAAACCAAGGAGGGTAGGTCCTAAGGTTAGGTTTTTTTGCAGGTATATACTTATTAAAAATAATATACAATTTATTGTTCAAAAGTTGAACACTTTCATCAACGCTGCTTGCAGAATCAAGAAAACTCCAATTGATATTGAGTAGTGCGTTGTATAATTTTGGAAAATCTGCTTTATTGTAATTATACTGCACGTGGTCTGGTTTACACTGTAAGCTCTTAACTCTAATTTTAATGGGGACATCAATACACAAAGAGGGGTGATATTCATCTTCATCTAAGACTATTTCATCGGCTTTATATACGTGACATGCTGAATTGGAAAAAACTAAGTCAAGCAGACGATGATATGTATTTTCTATCAAATTGAATTGATTTAAGTTAAACAAATTAGCAAATTATTGTACAACGTTCAATCTAGGCGAGCAGCTAGAATTGTTTATTTGAGAAATATACTCTGGCACATTGAAATCTCCTAGTACTAGAAGATGATTATCATAAAGAATATTAAGTAATGATATAGCCTCGAACACAGCCTCATAGTCATCAGCAGAACAAGCTGGCGGTATGTATATGAGTAAAATAAAGGTACACTGATAGTGAGGTTTAATTTTTACAAGAATAAAATCAATTTTGTTTATTGGAATAGAGCTACAAACATCAGACGTATCAATCAGAACTGCATTTAATTCTTTTTTAAGGGCACAAAGGACTCCTCCCCCCCTTGAAGTTTGTGTTAACTCGTAATCTCGATCGACCCTATAAACATCAAACACTGCAAGATCAAATAGCTCAGCATTATTTATGGTACTGTTACACCAACTTTCTGTAAAGAAGTAGCCCGCATACTGTGTAGCAGCAGAAACATTGTTAAATAGACGAGTTGTTTTTGTTCTTAACCCTCTAACATTTTGGTAATACAGTTGAAGACTAATTTGTGAACAATTATCAGAGCCAGATACGGAAACCTTCAATGGTTGCTACTGTGACGGTAACGGTACAATTTTATTTTTAAACATTGTCAGAGCTCGTTTATAGTAATGGCAATCTTTATCCCATGCTACATGATTGACAGAGGTATTTATATTATGATTTGCTACTAGATAAGTACAATTAATGCATTTATTGGTATTAGATTTACAGTCTTTGAGCTCGTGATTAAGAGAACATTTAGGACAGGTTGGTTCAGCTTTAGTACATTGGCTTGCTAAATGATGTAAACCCCAACACTTATAACACCTGCGTGGTTCAACAGCACAATAAACAGGACAATCAAAATCGAAACCAACAGTGAGCTTACCGAGTTTCATAGCCTTATGATAGGTGGCCGTGTCAACTTGTACGACAGCTTGGAAAAATTTACTGTTTCTTTTATGCGGTTTTGTATATATAATTTCAATGGTAGAGTTTTCGTTAAAGCAGCTTCTGTTTTGGGATTTAAGAGGTTAAATTTTTTTCGAGGTTAAACAAAGAAAATACCTTATATGGTTGTTATATTATTGTTATATAGTTGTTATATAGCTGTTATATGTTAAAGTACAGAAATTTTAGCAAGAAACTTTTTCTTAATTTGCAGTTACCGGTTATCAGAAATATATGGGTAAAAAAATAAATATTTAGACAAATATCAGGACTGTCACTCTAAACAGAATAACTATGTATAGATTTTTGTTCCTGATATTGAAAAAAAAAACTGATCAAAACATAAATATGTAAACCCAATTAATAACACTGTTAATATATTAAACATGAAGGACATTTGCAAAATTTATATTTCGTAATTTTATATTTTAAATACAAATTAATGTGAAAAATAGGAAAACATTTATTAATGGGATCACTTGTCAAAAATTTTTAAACATTCAATCGTTTTTCCATGATATTTATCATATAACTACTGTGATTGCATACGGTTTTTTATTAGATTTTTGTCGTTGTAAAAATTATAGAAAGTATGGATTTTTTTGTAAATAATAATGAGAAAAAGCTAAAAGCTTCTTACAGGTATTGTTTTATTTTTTCGCAGCAATTTACAATCATAATATTGCATTTCTGCCAAGGGAGCCTAGAACATGAACTCGTCTTGGCTTCAGAAATTTAGTAAACAATCCTGTCTTGGTTATGGTTATAACTAATTATTAACATTTATCTAAACAGTTTTTTGCACAATCAATGAATATTTGCTGTGAAAAGTGATAATTTTTTTAGTGTTATTCTTAAAAAATATATTCGCATGTACCCACCATAAACTGTCTTAATTATTACAACAAAACACAAAACGAATTTTAATTTAAACACCATTGTGACAAAAGGTTTTGGTATACTTATAGCGAAAAATAAACCACATCAATAGTTTTATATAAATGTATGGCGGCGTTGTTAGAATTTTTATTACAGAATTAAATGATATTTACGATAATTAATTCAAATAGGGTACCTATATCTAAATAGTTCTAGATAGGAAAAAAATTGATATTCAAATTTTGTTGTTTTACATTTTATGAACTTAGATATATTCCTGCAAAAACTGCCAATAAAAGTATATAAAAAAAATACATTGTACAGGGTGAATATTTAGAATAACTCCAGAACTGTTTGCAACTCTTGTTGATGCTGCAGTAGTCCATTTGTGTTCCATTCAAAAATTCCAAGTTGATTGGCCATTTTTAGCTTTAGGGATAGCTCCTTAAGTTAGATATATTCCACATTTAAAATATGGTCATTCATCTTGTCCAGTCTATCTAAGATTCTTTGGAGCATTACAACAATACTTTTTGTATGTAATCCAATCGGATCGGAGGCGTAAGTGTCTAAAGGCGGGTCCACATTGCTCGCAAACAGTGCGAACGAACACAACAAACGGAGCAAACAGCACGAATGAAACAAAAATCATATTCGTCGTGTTTGGGCTATTTGCAGCGTTCCTCGTGCTTGCAATCACCCAAAACACCTGTTTGGATTGTTCCGTCGGGTAGCAGTACATCAAAGGGATACATATTTCTCGCGCGAGCACAGTTGACGGCGGTTTGGTGATTTTTTTGTTTTTACTGTTCGCTTTTAAGTTCAGTCAAGTACGAGCGTATAGCAGAAGTAAAAGTTGAAAAGGCTTTTTCCAGTTCTCCCACTTTATACACATAAATTGACAGGTTTGCGGCGGATCTCACCGAAGTGTACACGATACATTGGCGTACAAAATTATTTTATAGATGTTAATAACAATTTCGAGTAAATAGTTTAATAAATGGTAAATAGTTGTTGAAATTTTGTTGAATTATGATTTGAATATTATAATACATGTTTAATAATTATTTATAATCCATAAATACATGCGATTGTCCGGTTCCGCCGATAACAATTTAAAATTAGTTATTCTATGAAACGACACTGGCAGGTAAACATACTGCGAAATTCTCGAAGCCGTCCGACGTGGTTTGACGTTTACCCCCTCTCTACCTACCAAAAGCCTTTCCAACTTTTACTTTCGCTCACGATACACATACCATAGAAATAATATAGAAGACCGATATACATATAACATTTAAGCAGAAATTGAAACCTACTGTGCATAAAAACGCGTCTCTGCGCCTGACTTCGCAAAATAGTGTGTCTAGAAGCATGCGCAATATGCATGACTTGTCCCTGTAGTGTTGCCAAGTATATTAAACATACCTAACAGAAAAGAATTTTAAATTAATTTATTTTTAGATTATATGATTTAAACTGTTTATATCTACGAAATATCGCCACAAAATAACTTATAAACATTTAAATAATCAAATAATTATATTTATGTGTAATTACATTCCCAAAAATATATACAAATACGATATTAATGTTCAACAAGCGATTCACCTACAAATTCAATATTGACCTGGCAATAGCACTAAAATCCGGTCTTTCAAGGCGATATGACGCTGCCCTTACAGGACCGTTTGTAGTTTATTATTTAATTACATACATGATAAAAGTGGCATTTTATTTTTAGTTTTGTGTAGTGTTTAGTTAAATCCTAGGTACAATAAAAGACATTTTTACATTGGCTAATGAAAATGTAATCAATGTATTAAGCAGCTGTTATATTTATTACAAGATTTATGTCTGGAAATCTAATACCTAAGGATTATAATTATCTAAATAGAGAGCTGTATATTTATATACAGGATGTCCAGCGACGGGAAAAATAGTAAGCAGGCTATGATCTTTCCATCCAAAATATTCTGACAGTTCTGTTATTTCCGTTTTATTTTAAATGATATGCCACTTCTAGTATTTCTGATAGCGATGAGATAACTACCAAATTAATAATTTACAAATTTATTCTTATTAATTATAAAATAGGTTTGCAATGTGCTGATGTGGAATGTTATCACCGACTAAAAACTTTAAATCTTTGTATTAAATTGATCGAAAACAATCAATAAATTGGTTTAGACTATACCGGGTGTCCCAGATTTTTTTGCCCAGCGGATATCTCGGTTATTTAATGATATAAAATTGTAAAAAAAAATATGAATAATATTTGTCTAGTAGCCTTTTAAATTCCACTACATAAAGTTATATTCATCAATCCACCCCATAGGAACAACCCCTAACTTTTTTTTTTCAAATGTCACCCCTATATTTTTTTTTCGCTGATATAAATACTCAATTTGTCCCGAATGCAACGATATGATATTTGATATACTTTACAGAGTCATAAAGCCGGTAAAGACTAAAAACCAATGTTGTGGTTAAAGTCATTAATTTTGTATCACCTGGTATTTTCTTTTTATTTTGATTAGAATTGCTTCGTTTTTGTTTTTTTTTTTTTTGTTACCTATTACTAACTAACGATATGCTTAGACCATTTCTGAAATTGTTCGCTAGCTATAAACAACAGACAAAATGCCCTTTACATTCACTCCAAACGAATATGTTGATATGCTTTTAATTTTTGGTGAGTGCCAAAAAAATTCTCGTGCTGCTGTACACTTGTATCAACAGAGGTTTCCTGAGCGCCGACAACCATTACGTAAAACATATTCTTATGTTGAGACTAGGATGAGAGAAGGGTCATTTCCAGGAAAAGACAAACATCGTCAACATGCTGCTGCTGTAAGAACTGAAGAAATGTGCATTAATGTATTAGCTTATGTGCAAGTACATCCCCAGATATCGACGCGAAACCTAGCTAACGAGGTTCATATTAGTAAGTCGTCAGTACAAAGAATCCTAAAATCCTATAATTTTCATCCGTTTAAAATTCATTTGCATCAGGAACTTAGAGCTGGAGATTTCGAAAGAAGGATAACATTAATAGCACATTTTGAAGATTTAATGGAACGAAATCCCAACATTTTGAACCAGATATTGTGGAGTGACGAATCAAGGTTTCACAATAATGCTACTGTAAATCGTCACAATATGCATTATTGGTCTCCTGAAAACCCTCACTGGGTTAGGGAAACTAACTTTCAGACCATCTGGGGAGTAAATGTGTGGTGTGGATTATTTCAGGGACGACTGATAGGTCCCTATTTTTTTCAAGGTACGTTAACTGGTGCTAGGTACTTACACTTTCTTGAAAATGACCTTCCAGAACTTCTTGAAGAAATTCCAATACAAGAAAGAGGTGCTATGTGGTGGCAACAAGATGGAGCTCCTCCACATAATAGTAATTTAGTTACCCAATTTTTAAACGAACGCTTTGAAAATCAGTGGATCGGAAACAGCGGCCCTTTGAGGTGGCCTGCGCGTTCACCAGATTTATCGCCTCTAGATTTTTTTTTATGGGGATATCTGAAGACCGTGGTATTTGAAACACAGCCATTGAATTTAGAAGATTTGCAAAATAAAATAGTACAAGCCTGCAATAACATTACACCAGAAATGATTACAGCGTCATGTACTCGTGAACTCATTCGACGTTTTGAAGCATGTTTGGCAAGTAATGGGGGCCATTTCGAACAATTTTTGTAAATATTCAATTATTTAAAAAACATATTAAGAGGTTTACCTATTCATTGGATTTGTTATTTTTTAATATAATAAAATGATAAAATGTAAACTAATTATTAATGACTTTAACCACAACATTGGTTTTTAGTCTTTACCGGCTTTATGACTCTGTAAAGTATATCAAAAATCATATCGTTGTATTCGGGACAAATTGAGTATTTATATCAGCGAAAAAAAAATATAGGGGTGACATTTGAAAAAAAAAGTTAGGGGTTGTTCCTATGGGGTGGATTGATGAATATAACTTTATGTAGTGGAATTTAAAAGGCTACTAGACAAATATTATTCATATTTTTTTTTTACAATTTTATATCATTAAATAACCGAGATATCCGCTGGGCAAAAAAATCTGGGATACCCGGTATAGAATGTGTCTAGTATGTTGAGAATGGGTTGTTAATACACTGCGACCTAAAAGATCTATTGTGCCCATGTTTCTAGTAAGCAGCGATTAATTTTTATTATGGAACCGAAAGACCCTTTTAAAAGGGTTCAAAATTAAAATAAAATATGTACCAAGTAAATGTAGTAGTACTTTTTAATTTATATTGAAAATGATAACATGAAAGGTTTTCTGTCTAATTGTAAGTAACGACTCATAGTCTTAGTTGACAAAATGTAAAAAATATCGAACATAATATTCCTGGACGAAAAGCAACTGCCCCCTATTTTGCACTCCCCAGATTAAATTTAGTTGTAGCAAATGATACTATCAAATAAGATGTCAAATCACAAGCAAAATCTCGTGACTACAGTACTAATGATTGCCTGTTTGGAAAAGTATCTTTGTAAATATTTATATGTATAGTTATATTTAATCCAGGTTAAGGAGGTCCTTTCGCCACCAATGTTAAATAAAAAATATTAGATTATGACTAAAATTAATTTTTTGCTAATAGTAGAAGTCCTTATTTATCTAATAGTGAACTTTTAACTATACCTTACCGTGCAAATTTTTTAGAATTTTTTTTTTTAAATGTGTGTGTTTGTACAGTGTCTTACGAGAAAGTAAGACTTCAACAACAATTTTCGAATAATAATTAATTTTACTATTATTTATTGATAGATGGAGTAGAAAAAAACTAAAAATAAGGTTTTTGAAATATTTAGGTTTTGTTTTTTACAATAAAATATATAGGTTACCGTGGAATTTATTGAGAAATTAATATTAAAAAATCACAAAACATGTTCAACTAGGTTACTTCAAATTTTTTTTTAATATTAATTTCTCAATAAATTCCAAGGTAACCTATATATTTTATTGTAAAAAACAAAACCTAAATATTTCAAAAACCCTATTTTTAGTTTTTTTTCTACTCCAT